AGTGCTCAAGTTTTCTTCAGTTTCTGCAAGCAATGTGATATCATCTGCATAATGCCAGTTGTTGATGAGTCATCTTCCAATACTTATGCCACAGTCTTATTCACATACAGATTTAGTAAGTATGAGTTAAGGATACAATTCTAAAACACATCATTCCTTATTTGAAATCATACAGTGTTCCCTTGTTCTGTTTAAACAATGGCCACTTGTTCTGTGTATATATACTTAACAACAAAAACGAGCTCCACGTCTATTGCACCAATAAAAGCAAGCTTACTTACTCATATAAAAAAATAAATAACGGTTTTATACAGTATTTGTCCTTATGGGACTGGGTTAGTTCGCTTAGCATAACGCGCTCCAAAAAGAGCAGCATTTTGACTTAAATGAAAAGTAAGCAGCAGGAGCACTAGATGAATGAGTACAGGATGTGTGCAGAGATACCACAAACTGTTTCCATATTTCTTTCTTCCTTTTTAGTTTAGCAATTGGCAGCATCTCTGGACACGCCAGAGTCCACCCTGATCTCTGTGTCATCTGGGTGGATGCTCACACCGATATCAACACTCCAGAGACAACCACCAGTGGGAACTTGCATGGACAACCTGTATCTTTTCTCCTGAAGGAACTAAAGGGAATGGTAAAAGCCTCTTGGTAATGCATTGCAGGAGTAATCTTTAGCAGAAGTGCAGGTGGTAAAAGGGACATCAGAACCCCTATGCCATTTTCAGGGGCGCTCGTGGCTGAGTGGTAAGGGATTCTGCTAACAACCCAAAAGCATATGATTCTAATCCATCAGCTTGTTCTGCAGGATAACGAGGGGCAATCTCTTCCTGTGCTATTTACTGCCTCTAAAACCCCCATGAGGGGTCAGCTGTGAATTGGTTCTGACAGCATGCCACCTTAAACTCAGTGCATACTCACTCAAACCATTCTCTGTAGTCAACAAAGATTAGCTGATAAAAATGGTGGTCAGTCTTTACCTTACCTGGAAGTTTGCAAAGTGACTTTGTGTACACCTTCCATTTTGGCTCTCCTTGAATGCCGTCATGTAGACCCTGACTCATACAACCGTATGTGCAACAGGACAAACCCTTCCCAGTCCTACGCCAGCCTCACTCTCTGCTGTGCTCAAGCCCACTATCGCAGGCACTGTCTCAATCCACACACTTGAGGGGCTTTTTGTCCTTCACTGACCCTCTACTTAACAAGCTTGATGTCTTTGCCCAAAGCCTAACCCCTCCTAACAACACGCTCAAAAGAAGTGAAACGAAGTCTTACTATCCTTGTTTCTAAGAAGCTCTCCGGCTGTACCTCTCCCATGTTTCTTCTTCATGCCGTCCACAGTGTAATCAGCCTTCATCCACTACCATTGGCCTTAGCTCTACCTCACGGCAGCCTCACGCATGTTGGGGAAGAACTGTCCCCGCAGGGTTCCCAGTGCATGATTTTTTCTTCTCTTTTCTTAGTGGGGTGAGAGTAGATGGCAGGCTTTTTCTCTAAGGTGTCTTTAGGTGGACTAGAATTTCCCATCTTCCAGTTGTCAACCACGCATAACACCCGCACCACATAGGGACTCCGCTGAAAGCACTGCTTTCTAGACAGGTTATCAGTTCTGAATGTTGGCACCCTGCTGAGATCATAGGCCAAGCAGGTAGCAAGGGAAGGCCTCGAACCAGATTTCCTAATTCCTCTTTCCAATATAACTGTACAATCTCTTCTAACACATATTTGAAAAATAAATACAGATTATAGAGTCTTTAAACCACATTTTTAAACATGGGTTTGTAATGATTTATATTCATATTCTTCCTAGGAAGACCACATATCTAAATCATAGGAAAACTTTCCTAGAAATGTCTATTTTAGAACATGTGAGATGGAGTTCAGGATCAAAAGTTAACACTGTGATTCCAAACCTGACCTGTTATGCCTAAAGGCTTTGGCATGTTAGTCCTCATGAAGATGCACGGAGATTCAAATTATCTTGGGTTAAACATTTAGGAGTATTTTCCCCACTGATGATCAAGCAATGAATTTAGAGTCTTGGAAAATGCCTAACATTCTTAAGGACAAGGAAGCTCAGCCCCAGAACAAAGCAGGTATCATGTTATGATGTTAGGAATAGTTAAGATCCATCTAGTAAAACTTTCCCCTTAATCACTGCAGCCTATCCTTTGGGTCAGAATAGCAGAGTATACCAATTTCCTGTAGTTAGTACTGGGTAGCTGGACAGCAGGGCTCAGAGGGACAGGAAGCCGGTAAACCTGGCAAATGACTCAGGTATGTCTACACCCCAGGGTGAGACTGTGAAAAGTCAAGCCTATCAGAGGTACCATGCAGCAAATGCAATCTACTTAATTTTGTGGTTTTAAAAATTATTCCCTTTGCTTTTTTTATGTTGCATTGTTGTTATTGTGTGCTGTCAACTCAGAGCTGACCTTCCAGTGGGTTTTTAGAGGCAATAAATTTCATGGGAGGAGACTTCCCATCCTTCTGTGGAGCAGCTGGTGGATTCAAACCGCATGCCGTTGGGATTACAGCACAGCTTCTAGGCTACCAGAACTCCCTAGGATATATCCACATTCTAAATATAAGGTGTATGAAATTCAGTCTTTCTTCTAATTTTAAGTATGTGGTTGGTTGCTGTTGTTATGTGCCATTGAGTCATCTGCGACTCATAGCAACCAAAGCCTGCCCTAACATGAGCCAGTCTCATTGACTCTGATAAACATACTCCCACTGCCCTAGTTACTGTATCAATCCATCCCATCCGGATTTTCCTCTCCTGCACTGTCCTTCCACCCTTCAAGCATGATGTCCTTTTCTACAGTCCTTCCTGGCCACGTGCCCAAAGTATGTGAGACAGAGCTTCAAAATCCAAGCCTCCAAGGAGAAACTTGGTTTCACTCTCTCCAAGACAGAACTGTTTGTTTTCTTGGCAGTTCATGGTATGTTCAAGACTACCCCAGCACCACAATTTGAAGGCATCAATTAATTTTCTGCCATCTTAGACACTGTTGCTACTGAGTCAATGATCAATCACAGCAACCCGATGTGTACAGAGTGGAACTGCTCCAGAAAAATCTTCAGGCTGGATCTTTCAGAATCAAATTGCAGAACTATCTTCTGAGATGTCTTTGGGTCACCTAAAATAGTGGTATAAGTGGTATGACTTAAGTAGTTAACCATCTGTACCATTGAGGGACTTCTTAAGATTTTCTCTGGAGCAGCAGTACATTTAACTGAATGGAAGCACTATCATTTTAGATCCCTGATGTACCTGGATTCTCTTGGGTGACCCCATGCATATCTGCTAAAGACATAGTATACATTGGCTTGAGAGATGTGGACCCTGGTGAACAGTAAGTGAATTTCCTGATAAGATTTTGTTTTGTTTTGCTCTTATGTGTCTTTTGTTGTTGTTATGTGCCATCAAGTTTCCCGCAACTCATAGCAACCCTATGTACATCAGCCCTAAACCCTGCTCTATCCTGTGTCAATATTTTTGTCTCTGACACACCTATCCCCATTACTGCAGTCACTGAATCAATCCATCTCATCAAAGGTCTTCTCTTACGCTGTCCCTCCACCTTCCCAAGCATGATGTCCCTCTTCAATGACTGGTCCTGCCTGACTAGGGATGTGTCTCTTAGGAAAATGTAAATGGAAACCACAAAGAGATACAAGTTTACTCCTACCAGAACAGCTATCAGCATAAAGATGGAAAAGAAGTGTTGGTGAAGATAGGGGAACCTAGAACCTCACCATTGCTGGCAAGATTGTAAAATGGTACAAATACTAATGGAAATAATTTTGTAGTTCCTAAAAAAGCTAAACACAGGATATAACCTAACTCACAAATTGAAAACAGAAACTTATTAACCTAGTGTTCATTGCAACACCATTAACCATGGGTGGGGTGGGGTGTGTGTGTGGGGGGGGGGGAAGCCCCAAAGCACAAAACACCTAAATGCTCATCAAAAAGATGAATACAATATACATGATAAATACATACCAAAGAATATCATAAAAAGAAATTAGGTCCAAACGCCTGTTATATGAACGAATCTTGAAAACATTATGTCAGTCACAAATGGGCAAGTATTATATGACTTCACTTGCCTGCAATATATAGAACTGGCAAATGGTTGTCTGGGGAAGGTGGGGGGATGGGGAGCCATTGCTTAACTAAGTTTCTATAAAGTACAACAAAAATACGGAAAAAGTGGTGGTGGTTTCATAACTTGGCAAAGGTAATTTTTGTCACTGAAATGTACAAGTTAAAAAGGCTGAAATAATAATTGTTCAACACAGCATTTTGTTATTTTACTACCATTAAAAAAAAAGAGAAATAAGCATATGAAGTCAGTCCTTATTGTGTATCATTGTCTCTTCTTTCATAGCTACATTTTGAAAAAATTTGGCATTAAGTACTTTTCAATGAGTGAAGTGGATAAAATGGGAATTGGCAAGGTGATGGAAGAAACATTCAGCTATTTACTAGGAAGGTATGTTGTGCACGTGTCATATAAATATTGAGGGCTTGCTACTGGCACCAGTCAATACAAATTATTACTAAAGTAAAAGTGTGGCTCTTTGGTGAGCTGTTACTTTATGATAAAGTGGGGTAAGTACAATGCTTACTTACCTACTGAACATTTACCTTTAAGCTGAATTCCTTTCCCACCTCTTAAAAGAAAGAAGAGGCCAATCCATCTGAGTTTTGATGTTGATGGAATGGATCCGTCCGTCACACCAGCTACTGGCACACCAGTCCAGGGAGGTCTGTCTTACAGAGAAGGTCTCTACATTACAGAGGAGATTTACAAAACAGGTAGGTAAAAAGCAGGAGGAATTAAGTAGAAAGTGTACAATGGGCCTTACTATTTCTACTTTACTGATAGGAAAATCAACTCATCTAATTATGCCTCCGAAGCACTCACCAAACAGGGAGGGAACTTATGCGTTTTTAATTGGCTTGTACCTCTCTTTTCTGGGTAATCTTTAAATCTGTACTGAACGAACTATGTCAACTATTTTATCAAGTGTACTATAACCATCTGTCATGCAGGCCTGCTCTCAGGGTTAGACATAATGGAAGTGAATCCGTCTCTGGGGAAGACGCCTGAAGAAGTGACTCGGACAGTGAACGCAGCAATAGGAGTAACTCAGGCTTGTTTTGGAGTTGCTCGAGAAGGTAATCACACTGAAGCCCAATACCCTATCAGAGCACCTAAGTAAATATGGCAACATCATCTACAAATTCACAGCTTGTTGTGCCACAATCGGCAAATCTACTCATTTACCAAGTCTAGACACAGCCTCCTGAAGACTGGATATCTGCTCATTTACCAAGTCTACACACAGCCTCCCAAAGATTGCTCTTTTCATAAAAATGTTTTGTTTTGGTCAATATAATTTGCATAAACTGTATTAAGTAGACTTGACCCTTGATAGGATATTCAAGATTCAGAAATTTTAACTTCGGTAAAATGAAAAAGCTTGTGTCTACTTTTGGCAAAAGATTTGAGTTGGGAAAAGAATGAATGTTAATTTCCAGTTGAAAATATGCTGACAGTTACAGAGACTTCCACAAAAAGTGAGATTTTTGGTAGCAGGAGACAATACCACCCTAACTGAAAAGGGTGGTAGTTTCAGTTGGTATCGTAAGCCCATGTTCAAAAGTTGCAATTTTGTAATAAACTATGATAAGATACTATTGTGTTCATTTTATATTTGCTAATCCATGCAAATAATATGTAATTTAATGTGTATATTACACATGTATATTATGATACACGTTACATGTAAGTGTAATATATATGCATGTTACATATACATATGACATGTATGTTATGTACTTATGCATGTGTAATTACAAGCTAGTATATCCTACATAAAACTACAATAAAGATATCTAAATATACAGTGACATCATTCCTGAAGCACTTGAAGATCTTGAAGAATGAATTTATATTCTCTGGTTCAAATTTTTCCTCTGTAAGAAGGATAATTAATCCTAAAGTTGGAGCTCTCACAGTTCACAAATGTTAAATGGCCATATTTTACTATTTTTAAACCTCAATCACAATATTGGTTGATACAGTTTCTTGGGAGTTAGAAGATAGTTTCAAAAACCGATTTGGGAGCTATAGATATCAAACTGTCATTCTGTTTCCGAATTTGAGTACTTTGGGTCAATACATTGTTGTGTGCCATTCTGAGTTGATACCAACTCACAGATGACCCTCCAGCAAGTTTTCAGAGGCAGTTTAATCACATAGGAAGAGTCTGCCCATCCTTTTCCCACAGAGCAGCTGGCACATTCATGCTTTCAATTGGTATTAACTGCGACTTTCAAATGCCCTACCCTTTGCTTACTGCAATTATACATAATTTCTAGTTCTGAAAATGTAGTGAGGAGAGTAGGGAAACAAAAAAATTATAAACAAGGGAAGCAAATTTTCCCTTCCCATTCTCTACTCTCTAGATAAGCATATAGGATGGAGTGAGCAGCTCCCTGAAAGATTTTAGTTGCTGGGATCTAACAGCTATGGAAATGGCCTCTACACTTCCCCCACTACCTCAAAGTTTTAAAGCTGTTGCCTCCATAGTCTTTGAAAGAGAAATACCTTATTGAATTATTTTTACAAGTATGGCAGATCTTAGTCTACAAATATGCGGGTATTATAGTCACAAGTAGCTACTTAAAATAAAGTTCACTCTCTAAAACTCAGAATGTCTAAAATGTAGTAATTCTACCTGGTATCATTCATGCATTGGGGTCCCAATGAATTTTAAAATTAAGTGTTTCACCTTGTTTTTCCAGTACAGTTTTTATTCCTATCTCAGTTCAATAAAAAGTATTTCCTCTTTAAAACACAAAGTTTAATAAAGTTAATATTTATCAGTTGTCAAGCAACAAATGCTGGCGAGTTTGTGGAGTTATTGGAACCCTTATTCACTGTTGGTGGGAGTGTAAAATGGTGCAACCACTGTGGAAGGTGGTGTGGCACTTTCTCAAAATTGCAAATAGAGATACCATTTGACCCAGCAATTCCACTACCGGGGATATACCCCAAAGAGACCATAACTGACATCTAAGCAGATAGATGTACACCCATGTTTATTGTGGCGTTGTTCACAATAGCAAGGAGTTGGAAACAACCTAAGTGCCCATCAACAAACGAATGGATAGAGGAGCTGTGGTATATTCACACAATGGAATACTACGTTGCATTGAAAAACAAGGACCTCATGCAATATTATTCAAAATGGAGGACATTATGTTGAGTGAAGTATCTCAGTCAGAAAAAGACAAATACTGCATGGTGCCACTGTTGTAAAACAGGACTGACCTCGAGGTTGGGGGTAGACTGAGAAAGATGGGTTCAATAATGTATACTGTATTGAAACAGATGAGGGAGAAAACTATTTAAAAGGGATATGTGATTAGGTATTTTTGTCATGACAAGAGTCCAGAGCAAAGGCTGCCTAGTGGAGTGGACCTGGGGGAGGGTTTGTAAAACAATGAAAGAATTTTTCTTTTACTTTTCCTAGAGGGTAGTGTACTGGGGGGAGGATTGGGAGGGGAGAAAAGTGCAACAATGAATGAATGGAAATCCAAAGTCTCTGTAAATTTTCATTGAATATAAAAAAAAATAGGTATGCAGAGATGTCTGGATGATTTACAAGTTAGACAGCCTTGCAGAAATTAATATTTTTGATTCTTTATTTTCTGTTATATAAAATGGAAATAATTAAACAAATGTCAACACTTTCCAAAGTTAGTCATAATTTGTTATGACCCATGAAGTCGAACACTTTGCATATTAAATAAAATACAAAGAGACATCTTTAAAAAAACTATCAGTTGTATTACTCACATTCCAAGTACTCAGTCACCATGTGTGGCACCCAGTAGCTCTACTTACTATTAAGCACTTCCGTAACTGCAGAAAGTTCCACTAAACAGCTACTCTAATATCACCAGACTTCTAAGAAGAATTTTTTTCTTTTTTTCTGGAAGACAGCACTCAGGGCTGAGACTCATCCTTTCCCCACTGCCTCCCGCTGAAAAGAATTTTTTAAAAGGATGTAATGAATTAAGAAAAAAGATTCAATGAATAGAATTTTTTTCCTTTTTATTCTTAGCTATAGCCAAAACCAATTAATTAAAACCTTCTGTTTGCTATTGATGTCCCCAGTAACTCATTTACAATTCTAAGAAAATTTGTATTATTGTGCCTTTTAAGCTAGAGAGGAAAAATTAATTTTTGAGTAATAGACATTATATAGAAGCCCTGGTGGTAGGGTGGATAAAGTGGTGCCTGATTAAAGTAGCTGGTGCTTTGAAATCAACAGCCACTCTGAGAGAAAGCCATGCCAGTGAGTTTCCATGAAAATTTACAGAAACTGTATCAATGGTTAAGTTCTACCTTCTCCTTGTTGATAGTTAAGTTGTTACTTAGTGCCTTCAAGTAGAGCACCACTGAGCTGATCCTATGAACAAAAGGCTTGAAACCTTTCTGTAACTATCAACATTTATCAAAGTTCCAAGTTTCCAGAAGCATGTTGTTTAGGAACTGGATGCCATTTTATTAAAGTTCATAGAGTGTGTGGAGGCATGTTGTTTAGGAAGTGGAATGGACTGCTGGAATGGACTAGGTGGTAATGATTGGTTTGTCTGCTTGTTTCTCCTCTACTGGGCATCTCTACATAACAAGGAAATGATAAAAAAGTTTTGGTGGCCTACTGAGTAAGAAGTTCTAGCCAACCCAAAGGCAGGCAGTTCAAATCTACTTACCAGTTTATAGGTAATCTCCTCCCATGCAGTTTTCAGCCTCTGAAAATACACTGACAGATCAGCTCTCTGATGTACATAACAAGGAAATGATAAATGTTGATTATTAGGATCAAAATTGTTCTCAGTCTGGGTTCTTGGGGGACAATGACATACTGAGACTATAGTTGGTGTGAACTGTTGAGTAGGAACTGAACCATAGCTGAGCCCTCCAGGAAGTTTCCAGAGCCAGTTAATCACACAGGAGGAGACTGGCCATCCTTCTGATAGAGAGCAGCTAGTGGTTTTGAGTCAGGTTGCTGGAGCAACCCCTTACCACCTGGCCAAGAAAATATCTTGCATATAGCTACATATTACTGAGACTATGTTGAGTATAATTCTTGAAATAATTTCTAGCACAAAATTTCTGGAGAATTTTAAAATGAAAATTTTACTTATGGCACCATGTAAGCTCTAAGCATAGCTTGAATGGTAGTAAATGAAGACTTAGCTTAAGTGATAGTTATAATATGACCTACTGGCCTATAGGCAAGAAACTACACTGCAATCCCGAAGGCATGCAGTTCAAATCCATCAGTGGCTCCACGGTAGAAGGGTGGGCAATCTCCTCTCATGCAATTAATGCCTCTGAAAACCTACGGGAGGGTCAGCTATGAGCCAGTTTCCAAATACACGGTTCACAACAGCATAATATGATCCATGGACAAAGAGAAAGGTTCTAAGGAATGTACTGGGAAATAAGAATCTGACTGATAATTGGTCAAGCTTTATTGGTAAATTCTTTTGTAATTGTTGTCTGATGCCCTCCAGCCATTTACAATTCGCAGTGACCCTACATACAACCCAAGCTGTCCTCATAACCGTCACTGTGCGCGTGCCCATTGTTGTTACCACTGTGCAATCCATCTCCCTGACAGTCATCCACATTTTTGTGGACTCTCTTAAAAATCAGTAACTCTTAGTTTCTTGCCATCAACTGTGGTATATATGAGCCAAGGAAGCAGTACATTCTATTCTGTAACTCAGGCAGAAAAGATTTATTCAAACTAAGAATAAAAGAAGTCATATAGTTTATTCACCAAATTTTTTACTGTTTTCCAAGTATTTTACAGTCTTAATATCAATTATTTCTACACAAAATGAGTAATATTTCTCAAAATTTAGCAAACCTTAAAGTATTAAAATGAACAGTATATGCAAAAATACATTATTAAAAAAATTATTCAAAGAATATCTGACAATTTACCTGGTGAGATTATCTATTTAGAAGACCAATTAATTTATTTTAAGAACAGTTATTGGAGAATTGATCATTTAAACCTGATTTTATTAAACCTATAGACTGACTCCCTTAAATAATATTTTCTTACTTGGTTTTCCACTTGTTAGATACAGTAAATTCAAGTCCACAAGGAAAGACGCTGCTGCTCCATCTCCA